CTGGAGATGAGCTGGTCGAGCTGGGCCGGCTCAGGAGTCGCTTGAGCTTCTGGGGCCCCCTTTCCTGCCGGCGCGCCGGGCCCGGGACTCGCGGCCCTCCCTGATTGCGAAGCCGCCGTCGCCGCCGCAAGCCCTGCAAGTGGCCCCTTCTGCTTGCGCTGCAACTCAATGTGCGAGCCCTTCGCGCTGGGCTCGTCATCGGAATCGGCGGCGGTCGCCCCCGCGATCAGTTCGGACTCTGACCCAGCATCGGAGTCCGAGTCGGTGTCGCGCAAGAGACGACGCCGCGGATCTAAGATCGAGGCCATCAGCAATGGGCCCAGCAGTACGCCGCCCACCTGCATCAGGATCGTCTCCAACTCGCCCGACTCTAGCATGTCCATCATGGTGGCCCACCAATCTGGTGCTTCCTCCGCGGCCTCCTTGGCGGCCATCGCCGCGTCATGCATGCCTTTGACCATCGGCCCCGACACGGAACATTTCCATATTCTCCAGCAAACGAAGGTTCTCGCCACCGAGCTTCCCCGCGAACGGCGCAGCCATCCGAGCCAGGAGGTTTTCGAAACAAGCGTGCGCATCCATGTCACAAGTCCTCCTCAGGTCGTGCTTTTCTTCTTCGTGGCAGGAGCCTTTGCCTTTCTTGTCGTTGACCTTCGCCGACTTGGCACTCTGAGAGTCGAGCTCTCGGCGTGCCATGAAACGCTGTGATGATGCAATAACCATGTCGCGGCCCTTCTCCGTCAGACCAGGAAACGGGACCCACGTGGCGCCAGCAATCGGCTTGATCGAGAACACGGGCTTGTCCTGTAAAGACGCGGCCTGCATCCTGAGGTTTAGATTCGCGCGCGTTCGAATCAAAATCTGATAATTCGCCGGCGCGTTCGGCCGACAACATCACGCATCGTGAGCCCTGCCCCTTCGAGCGGTAGCAGGTACGGTTTCACTGCGTCCAGCCGCCCATGACTAGCGGGTTGGACCCGACGATTACAATCCTCTCCTGAGTCTAACTATAGGTCTCCTCGGCCGTCTCGCTGAAACCCTCTACGGGCTCGTCGTCACTTTCCTCCTCGAAGCCTGGCCCGAGGGAGTCCAGCACCTCGTCGGTGCCGATGTTCACGACGACGGCCTCTGCCTCCTCTTGGATGTGGTCGCGGAGCCCGAAGAACGCAAGCGCTGCGCTCACGATCGCCGAAGCGCGCGACGTCGCCCCCGTGAGGGGGAGGCCGTGCCACGGCACGACCAGAAAAAAAAAGAGGCCCGCCCCTGGGTCTCGCTCGTGCCGGCTTGAGCCCAAATTGTTGCATATGGGAAAGCAAGGGGAGAGGGCGGCTAACATACCACGGTTGGGTATGTAAAGCGCAATCCGAGAACAACTGAAAGCGGCTCGAAGCCGCCCATATAAATGCTCAGACGTGCCCGTGGTCGCCCGAGGACAGGCTCAATGCTGGCCCAATGCTCCCCCAGGGCAGCCCTGAGCCAGCCGCCAAACGCGCGAACACTGCCCGCTTGGTTCTACCGACTTTCTTCTGGACAACTAATCGGATCCATCGCGGCCCAAAGCGCCCCAATCCCCAACGAGCCTTCCAGCAGGCCCTAAGAGGCCCCCGCGAATGCCCTAAGAGTCCCCCGCGAGGCATCCAATAGTCCCCGATGGGCCTGTAGCACCCCCCCAAGAATCGTCGCCACACGCATGCAACGTGTTACGGCAACGCCAAACTACAACACCGTGGCGCTGTTCTCCGGATTGTTTTGATACGGTTCAGTCGAGACTCTCCGGGACAGCTCGGACAACATTGCACTTCGATGCTGCGCGTGCATGGTGGCTGGGTTGCCGAGAGCACCTGGGTAACATGACTCCTCCCTAGCCATCGCTCGGACGTCCATTCCCTGTGTTTTTTAGGTTTAGTGCGTGGTTTTGTCGCCACATGATCAAGCGATGCTCCTCGATGGTCCTCCCCGAAGGAAACATGCACACGTCCGAGCGATGCCAGGCTCCCTCCCCCTCCTCCTCGCCCGTCGTGGGCTAGGGAGTCGCACTACGTGTGCGGTGGAGTCTCTGCCAGGAGCCGCCGACGCGCCCGACGAACGCGAGACCGACGTCGGGCCGCAAGGGTTGGGCAGTTTTGAAGGGGCCCACAAACACACATACATACACACAAATAAAAAGATCCCCAAGATTTTCCCATGTTTTCTGGGTTTTGGTCTTCCCCCCCACTTCCCATATTTTCCAATATTTTCTGGGGAATCGACGATTAATAGTGTCTGTGTGGTTCTTTCCCTCCTGAAGTCTGCCTTCATGCCAGGGAAGGAGGGGGGCAGGCATGGGAAAACAACGATGTCAACGACGCGTCGTGGAACACGCGCGCAGGCGTAAAGAGGAAGCAGGAGGGAGACGGGGGCGACACGAAGAGGAGACGAGGAAGATTCGGTGGCAACGCATGGGAGCCTCCCGTACCATCTTGTCGGCTCTTGCGAACCGACGCTGATCGACGCTAAACCGACGCTAAAGACGGAATCAAGGGGGTGTACCAGGCTCCGATGATTTGCTACCGAGAGCGGAGTGTCGTGGAACACGCGCATATGCGTGGAGAGGAAGCAGGAGGGAAACCCGGGTCGACGACGAAGAGACGAGGAAGCGGGGCAGGGGCGGGTCCCGACATGCCCCGAACCCCGGCACGAGCGCACCTCGTGGACCCAAGGGGGGGGGGGCATGCGCCAGGACACATGTATTTCCAAAGCGAGCCAGTTTTGAAATGTGTTGGCTACAATCGGGGAGGCGAAAGACTCGTGTTCGGCGGGGCCATCACGATAATGACGAGACCCAATCTGAAATTTGACGCGCGCTCCCGCTGCAGACATCTCACGAACACTGGACCGTCACAATCCCGGACGCGCTCGTCAAAACACGTTGGCAAACCAGAGTTCTGGCGTACTCGAATCTTACGTTTCCCCGATACAAAAAAATATACTAGCCAGCGAAAGCCCCCAATCAGTGACCTCTTGCAATCTATGCGGTGCAGTCTGGATTTGGCAATCGACGTGGTGCAATCTGGGTGGTGCAATCCATGTGGCGCACTGTATGTTGTGCCAAGCAGCGCGAACCAATGTTAAGCAATGCAACGCAATGCGATATAAACCACTGTAACCCGATGCAAAGCAAAGCAGAGCAACGCAATGCAATATAACGCAAGCCAATACAAAGCAATGTAACACACTGCGATGCACCGCAATGCGATTACAGTGTAATTGCTGTGCAGTGCAGCGCGATTGCAATGCATTGCGATGCGAAAACAATGCAATGCGGTTGCAATGCGACGGCTGGGAGGGGGGGGTGCAACAAGGCTGCGGCAACGGGCGAGAACGGGGCCGCCGGGGGGCCGCAGACGGGCCCGCTGTTTGGAAAGATGGGGCGGCGACGGACGGGGAAGGAGGCCGCGGAGCCTGCAAACGGGCCCAGCTATGTTTTCAAGGTGAATGAGAACCCCTCCGTGCAGACGCTGCTTGGGGCATCGGAGGGGCGGATGCGCCGCTGGCACTGCCCCCAGGACTTGGCAGCAAGCAGAGCGCCTGCGGGGATGACGCGTGCAGCACAGGCAGGAGACATCGGCGGGACTCGCACGATACTTGTGCCAAGAGCGAGGGAGAGAAAGAGAGAGAGAGAGAGAGCGTGTTGGCCAGAGGAGTGAGAACGGGACCAGAGGAAGGGAGGGGTACAGCAGACACATCGGGGGACAACCATTTCTGTGGGGCACCCGCCGGCAGGCCGCCTTTTTTGGGGGGGCGTGCCTGCTGTAGGATGGGGGCGACCAGCAATAACAGCAGGAGCAGCGAGCGAAGATAAGGGGGACAGGGCCAGAGGAAGGTCGGGCATGTCCCCTACAGGCGGATTCTGGACGAACCATGCAACAGAACCAACAAGTGCTCCAACAATGTATTCTAAAATTTTGAGCAAACAACAAAACCAACAAGTCCCTCTACAAACACAACAAAAATCAACTATTTCTGAGCATTCCTCCCGTGGAGGGACAGGCCCGACTCCAGGCCAGAGCTGACCAGCGGGGACGGGCGGCGGCCGCCGGGGGGAGGAGGGGACGGAGGAGCAGGGCGGCTCCGCGGCGCCGGCTCCGCCCGTGGCTCGGGACACGGCGCGGGGGCGCAGGAGTGACGGGGCCCACAAACACACAAATAAATACACACAAATAAAACAAATCCCCATATTTTGCTATATTGTCTGGGTTTTTGTCTTCCCCCCACTTCCCATATTTTCCAATATTTTCCTGGGAATCGACGATTAATTGTGTCTGTGTGTTTTTTCCCTCCTGAAGGAGGAGGAGGAGCCCGGCCGACGACGCTGTGAGGACGAGTAGGCGATCGAGATCGGGGGGCGCCGCGCCAGAAGAATCGGGGCCCCCCATCCAGGGCACTGCTGAGCCAGGACACTCTGGACACTCCAGTGAGGGAGAGCGAATCCTGGAGAGTGTTTCGATCCGCGGCTGAGGTTTTCTCGGGAGCGCCAGTGTTTTTGGTTTCCTATGTCTCCGTCGAAGGGGCCCTGGAGGAGGTGCGTGGGCGCTGCGTCGGAGGCGGAACTGCGAGTGGGAGAGGACTACCAGGAGGGGACACGGTCAGAGGCAGAAGCGCAGGCTCGCAGAAGCAATAACACGAAGCAGCCAGAAGGCGGGACACATGTGCGAGATGGCTTGTACTACGGCAGCGACCTCACCACTTCTACTGAAACTGACGCAAGGGCGACGCGCACTCACACACACACACACACACGCGCATCAAAAGGTAGCTTATATACGTGCAGCAATTCGCCAGGTTTTGCAACAACTCTCAACTCAACCGACCTTCTAATAACATATGCTTCTTTGTTGGCTCCAGGAAGCTCCACCTAATGTGTGCGGGGATTCTTGTCCGTCTTTGGTCGATCCACGAGAGTCCAAGGCCCGCAGGGGGCTCCGTAGGCGAAAATTACAGCACCCCCCCGCGCGAGGCTCCGTTGCCGGTTCATGGCGAGATCTACGACGCGCAGGGCCAAGTCGACGTCCACGACGTCGTGGGCCGCCAACCGCTGATCCACGGCGTCGTCGTCTATGGGTAACGCCTTCCCGCACGAGAGAATGGATGCCACGCCCAATAATGCTGCTCTTTTTGAAAGCTGGCAATCTACTGAACATGCCGTCTGAATTCGGGAAGACGCATGACCTAGCGACACTATGGGAACACCGCGTTGGTCGCAGATGGCAATGGCTTCGGGTTTTGGCGAACACTTCGGTCCCACGGCTGGCTCTCAAACATTCAAAGACGTTCACGGCTTCAAAGATAATCAGGAGCCATCCGCGAACTCCCCGAACGACTCACGAAGACGGTGGGCGGATGCCTTCCGCGTATGCATGTCGCCACGTTTGACGATAGCGTGTCGCTGGCCTCCCTCCTCCTGGATCTCGCTCTGCCCTCGTCCTCCTGCTGGAGGCAGTCTTGCTCAAGCATGGCGCCCTGGCACCAAGGCGCTCGGCGCTCGCAGCACGTGCATCCCTCGCCTGCGCTGCTCGCCCTGTGCACGCCGAGGAATGCCCTGTGGCGCTTGCCTGGCACGGGGGCGCAATCAGCAGGGGTTGGCCGGGCTCCTGGCTCTCCCCGACTACTTTCGAAGAGATGTGAGTAAAGGGGGCCTGGGACACACAAATAAATAGACACACGTAACAGGATTCCCCATATTTTCGAATTTTTTCTGGGTTGTCGTCTTCCCCCCCACTTCCCATATTTTCCTGAGAGTCGACGATTAATTGTGCCTGTGTGGTTCTTTCCCTCCTGAATGAGACGGGGCCATCCTGAAAAGGACGAGACCCAATGTGAGACTTGACGCGAACCCGCGCTGCAGACATGCCAAGAAAACGGGACCGTCCTCATCCAGGGCGCGCTCGTCAGAAAGCGTCGGCAAACCCGATTTCTGGCGTACTCGAGCCTTGCGCCTCCCCGTGACTGGATTGCCTCCCCCATAGAGTTAGGTTGGGCGTGTCTTCCTACAGGCGGACTTTGGACGAAAACTACAAAACCAAATTTTTAATATAGAAAAGAACTCATAATCGAACTATCGTCCCCAGACTATTTTTTAACTATTTTTGAACATTCCTCCAGTAGAGGGGCAGGCCCGACTTAACCATAGAGGGCGGCACGCTCTGCGAAGCAAACGTGCCATTGGCCCCCTGCGCTCCGCCATTGTTTCGAATATTTGGCCCACTACTGGTGGAACCGAGATCGATCTCCCGCTAAGTTTAGGTCAGGCATGTCCTCCCACAGGAGGATTGTGCACGACAAACATTATATATATATATATATATATATTTATTTATTTAAAGCATACAAAAATAGTCAGTATAACCAACAAATCGTGCCCATACTATTTTTGTGATTATTTTTGAATCGGTTGGGGGGTGAGATCGCAGTGGAACGGAGACCCCCAACCGGGAAATCGTTTCGTATTCTTTGTGTCGTGCGTGCGGGTGAGGCGAAAGCTGCGTGGGCGCGCGAGAGGAATGAACCCGCCGTTGCTCGGGCGAAGCCAAAACAAATGTGTCTTCTCCGTCCGTCCGGCGGTGGCTTGAGCGGTCGTTGCTAGGGCAAAGTCAGGACACATGTTTCTCCTCCGTCCGTCCGGCGGTGGCTTGAGCGGTGTCCCGCGGTGTCCCGTGGTGTCCGCCGTTGCTAGGGCGAAGTTAAGACAAATGATTCTCCTCCGTCCGTCCGGCGGTGGCTTGCGGTGTCCCGCGGTGTCCCGTTGTGTCCGCAGCTGCTAGGGCGAAGTCAAGACAATGATTCTCCCCCGCCCGCCCGTCCGTCCGTCCGTCCGGCGGTGGCTTGCGGTGTCCCGCGGTGTCCCGTGGTGTCTCGTGGTGTCCCGTGGTGTCCCGTTGAGGGAGATCAATAGTGAGATCGATAGTGAGATCGATGTGGTGTCCCGAGATGTCCCGTGGTGTCCCAAAAAGTGAGATCGATAGTGCGATCGACAGGTGTCCCGTGGTGTTCCGTGGAGTGAGATCGATGGTGAGATCGATAGTGAGATCGATACTGGGATCGATGTGGTGCCCCGTGGTGTGACAAAATATGATATCGATAGTGAGATCGACAGGTGTCCCGTGGTGTCCCGTGGTGTCCCGTTGAGTGAGATCGATAGTGAGATCGATACTGAGATCGATGAGGTGCCCCGCGGTGTCCGGTGGTGTCCTATGGTGTCCCGTTGAGTGAGATCGATTGTGAGATCGATAGTGAGACCGATAGTGAGATCGAGAGGTGTCCCGCGATGTCCTGTGGTGTCCCGTGGTGTCCCGTTGAGTCAGATCGATAGTGAGATCACCAGTGTCCCGTGGTGTCCCGTGGAGTGAAATCGATCATGAGATCGATTGAGTCAGATGTTGGTTCCCCCCCCTCGCCCCCCCCCGCAACCTTCTTATCACCCGAAGGGTGGTCGTATAGGTATTCCTCCTGTAGAGGGACACGCCCGACTTAACACTTAGTGGCCCTACGTCCGCGGCGTGTAGAGCACTCAGTACTAATTCTGGTCACTTGTATTTCCAAACGTTTCCGATTCCGGCCGCGAGTTGCATATGAAAGGTGCCCACGCGCAGGCCTATGCCTCCCGAACCTCGATGACCACGACGACACCAAAGTCGGCAAGCCTCGGGGCCGCTGCAAACTATACCCCCTGCAATCGGCAATCGCCAGGGCCGCTGCAAACCGCGGCAACTCCTGGGGCCAAAGCAAACCGTGGCTCCGGGGTGCAAACCGCGGCCCCCGCTGCAAACCGTGGCCTGGCAGGCCCCGGCCGCCGCAAAGCGGGCCCCGGGCCCGCTGCAAGTCGTGCCCTGGCGAGCCCCGGGCCGCCGCAAGCCGTGGCTCCGGCGAGCCCCGGGCCGCCGCAAACTACAGCTTTGGCTGGCCCCGGGCCGCCGCAAACAGGGCCCTGGCGGGCTCCGGGGCCGCCCACGCTTTGCAGCGGGCCCGAGGCTCGCCGGGGCCATGGTTTGCGGCGGCTCTGCAGCCCCTCGGGGCCAAGTTTCGCGACGGCCCTGGGCCCGCCGGGGCCATGGTTTGCAGCGGACCCGGGGCCTGGCTATAGTAGTGTGCGGCGGCCTGGCGGGCGGGGCCCGTTGGGGCCACAGTTTGCCCCAGCCCGGGGCCTGCCAGAGCCATGGTTTGCAAGGGGCCAGGGCTTGCCGGGGCCACTTGCTCCGACCCCGTGGCTTGCCAGGGCCATGGCTTGCAACGGCCGGGGCCATGGTTTGCAACGGCCCAGGGGCTTGCCAGGGCCAGATGGTTTGCAGGTTTGCAGAGGTCCCGTGCCATGCGAGCGCGCACGTGCGCACAAATGCACACACTTTTTGACGGTCGCGTGCTCACGCGCAGCATCGAGACACGCACACACAACACACAACACACAACACACGCACAACACACAACACACGCACACAACACACAACACACAACACACACACACAAATAAACACACAGACGCACACGGACACACCCTTTTTCAGTCGGCGGCTAGGCAGACACACACACACACACACACACGCACGCAGACGCACACACACACACACAAACACACACACAAGCATACTCAACACACAGACTGCCCGGGCGCGGGGCGGACCTCGCAGGTGGACGCGGGAGGGGCCGAGCTGGGCAGGGCATCTGGGCTATGCAGGAGCGCGGACGGGAGCCAAGGTCCATTGCGACGTGGGCGCCACCATAATATTAAGGTGCAGACGCAACCTCTTGAGGGATGCTTCGCTGTCGACGGCTCCCGCTACACCGCGGGCGCCTCGTGGTTGTCGCCCCTCGGGGATTCCAGACTCTCGTAAACCCTGCGCGGCGCGCATCTCGAGTCTACTGGGACACTGGCACTACGCAGTGGCCTGGTGGCGTACATTTGCTGCAGCTGCTTTGTAGCTTCACGCCCAGTTGGCGGCTCGCTTTGAAGCCTCATCTGACAATTATTCGGCGTGGACATTCCCATGTGTGCATCTGATATGCTGGCAGGTGACGACGAGTGCGACGGCGACGACGGCGGCGGCTACAATGAGGGACAGCGACGACGAAGTAACTCACAGACAGACAGGCGGTAAGCAGGCCTCTCCCCTCCCTTTCCTCTTCCTCCTCGTCGTACCCCCTCCCTTCTCTTCCTCCCTCCTCCCTTGTCCCTCGTCCTGCGCCCTTCGTTTCCTGCTCCGTCCTTCCTCCTCCGTCCTGGCGGCCGACCCCCTTACAGCATCGAAGAGATCATGGGGCTCTGAATGGACAGGAGCCGGAGGGCAACACCGAGCGCCTCGTTCGGGACATCCTCACGATCTGGCCGACTGGGGTGCTGAAGTCGGCGCCTTGCTCTGGACATCCTCTCACTCTGCTCTGACTGCAGGGGAGTCCAGGCCGCGAAAACAATAAGCAAACCGCCTGAGGCGACCCCCCATAATCTGGCCGCGAACGGGCGAGTGTCGTACCCCCTGGAGGCTCCCCCCTTGGGGTGCTAAAGCAAGCGCCTCGCTTGGGACATCCTCACACGCTGCTCTTGCTCTGAAAACAAAGGACTCCCAGCTACGACACGAGCATACTGTCTGATACATCCCCACAGTCTGGCCGCGAAGGGGCGAATGTCATACCCCCTTGAGGCCTCCACCCCACCCCTTTGGGGTGCATAAACTAGCGTTTCGCTCGGGACATCCTCACATCCTGCTCTGAAAGCAAAAGGCTCTCAACAACGACACGAGCACATCGCCTGAGACACCCCCACACTCTGGCTGCGAACGGGCGAATGTCATACCCCCAGGCGCTTCCCCCCCCCCGCCGTGGGGTGCTAAGGCCTCTCTCGGAACATGAAGCGTCCCAGCCCCGAAACTAGCAAACTGCCTGAGACTTCCCCACAATCTGGCCGCGAAGGGGCGAATGTCATGCCCCCTGGCGGTTCCCCTTTGAGTGCTCAAGTAGAGCGGCCGAACATGCGTGAACTGAATGGGGGTGGGTCTGAGTATGAGCGAATCTGCTTATGAGTCCGCGTGCGGTGTCCGAGTCTGAGCGATCGGAATGCAATTGAGTCCAAGTTTGAGTGTGAGTGGGCCTGTGAGTGTGTCTGGGTGTGAGTGGTCTGAGTGTGATTGAGCCCGAGTGTGGGCGAGCCTGAGTTGAGCCTGAGTGAGGTGAGCAACGATTGCGAGTGGTCTGAGTATGAGAAGTCTGAGTATGAGGAGGAGGGGGGCAGGAAGGAGGCGGAGGCACGGCACGAATAGCACGAACCCCATACTTTTGATGTGAGGGAACACACAAACGCAACGCTACCGTGCAGCGTCGGTATGCAGTAAGGGCTCTGCCTGGACACTCGTCATTTGTCGCCGCTGCGATCGCACTTCTGCTGCCACGCGCCCTGCCCTCAGTGCATCGACAACGATGCCCCTCGCGTGCGAGGCTTGCCAGCACGACGCTCTCGACTGCGACCCCCTCCCGCCAGAGTGTACAGCAACGGAAAAAAGGCGTTGACGACCTCGAAGGGGGGAGCGAGGAGATCAGGCGCCAGCCAGAGAGCGACGGCAGAACGCGCCCCGAGCTCCGTGCGTGACGGGGCTGGTGCGCCTCCTCGCATGCGAGACGACAGACCAGACCATAACACGGAACCCAGGGCGTGCCGTCGGGGGCTGCCGACCAGCGGAAAAACGTGAGGGGGTGCAGATGGCGGGATCTGGGGAACGGGGGGGGGGGACCCCGCCTTTCCGGATCTGCTCTTCCGACCCCCCCACCTCCCCCCCCCCTCCCCGGCTCCATCTCGGATCACTCCCCTGCCCCCTCCCTCCGTCAGGCTTCTCCTAGTGGGTCTCAGGGGCTCCCAGGATTCCCTCGGGAGCTCCAGGGGGTATGAGGATGCCGTCGCTACAGCTCTCAACGGCGCGCCTGAACACCCCCCTTCTGTGACTCTGAAGCACGCACCAATGCAATAATAAATACTTGTCATAGAGGGAAGGGGGTGCACCAACGAAACTGAATCTATTCGTTTTGGAGTTTCCTCCCCCAGCTCCGACACGTAACGCGGTGGCGGATATCTGCGGCAGCGGGATGGTACACGTGCTATGCACAGCGACACAGAGGACAGGACCTACGATCGAGATGGCTGATGCCAACGCATGGAAAAGCACGGTTGAGATTATTGATATGCCAACGCATGGAATCACATAATTAAGCCAAGCATGCATGCACGAAAAAAGAGAACGCCGGACGAGAACGACAAGAAGCCACAACATGCTCTCGTAGTTCAAGTCCTGCCCGCGTGATCGATCATACGATTGTGACATTTTCAGGATGCACTGCTACAATTCATATACACATGTGATGTGTTCGGAACAGCTTCGAGGTAACACTACGGCGGCATCCCTCAGCGTAACGACAGAACTCGAAAACTGAGCTTCTGCTGACACATGTTTGCGTCGCGCTAATCGTGGCATGAATGATTGCGTCGCACTGCTCTGTTTAGCAGTGTGCATTGCGATCGTGCATCGCAATGCTCTCGTACATTTGCAATGCGATGACCAGCAGTGCTGACGCGTGGGCTTCCAGGCAGTGAAGTACATGATGCAGTGCCGATCCCCAAAGGGAGTGAGACACCCAGCGGCGGTAATGTTCAATGGGCAAGACCACTGGATCAGGAATGGAGGGTCTCGCCGTCGCGCATGCCATCATTAAACAACAAACCTTAGCTATCTTCGTTGCCTTGCTGGAGTGATTGCTGACCTGGGGTATTGCCCATCGTGGACGTGATCCTGTATACGTACGCGCTCCCCTAAGGGCATTGGAAAGGGAAGGGGAGACATAAGGTGAAGATGCAGGAGAGTGGAACGGAGGGGGAAGGGGAAGCGTGAACAAGATGAAGGTGGGGCGCGGGAAGTGGGAGATGGAGCGGGAGAGTGAGGGCATGCCAAGCAAGGACGGAGGAATTGGGAGGGATGGGGGGGGGAGAGATGGCATGGATGATGGACTGGGTAATCTTGGGCTGAGCGCCTCCTGCTCACACTTCTCAGCGCCCTCAAAATCGCTGCAATCACGCCTTGGCGGGTAGTGCAGCCCAGAGACGACGCTGCCACAGGCGCGCGGGCGGTGCGCTTGAAGGCGAGGGCAGGGAGAGATCGAGGAGGAGCATGAGGAGGCGTAGCAGCCGTAGCAGCTGAGGAGGAAGGGGAGGGGCAGCATGCGCAGGGGGAGGAGAAGCAGCAGCAGCACCCTTCCTCCCCAGCCTTCCTTCTTCGCCCTCATCGTCCTCACCCTCCCCTCATCCTCGCCCGCCTCCCATTCGCATTGTCAACGGAGGAGGGGCTGCGAATCGCGGAATGCACGCCGTGACCGCCAGGGGCAGATGCTTAATGGGGTCCAGCGACATCCAAAGAACGAGAAAATCGCCATTCATTTCCTCATCCTCCTGCTCCCTCTTCTACTGCTTCTCCTCCTCCTGGAGGGCGCCAACAATACACCGACACACATCCAGGCCAACCCACTCCCAAGCCCTCGATCGATAATCCCGCCAGCTGTCTGGGCGTAGGTGGTCTAGGGAGTTAGTTCTGCCAACCCCCTTCTTCCTGTTCGGGGATGGGGTTGCCCATCCCCATCCTGTCTGCTCTGGGTCTGGATTGGGAGGGGCCCGGGGTGTCACAGGGCCCTCTCCAAGCTGGCCCCAGCTAGCCCACTATCGCCTCCAAGACGGCCCTTGCTGTCCTTCGATCTACTTCCAAAGTCCTTCAAGCCCGCACCAATACGTGAACAGAAAGGGCACGCAAACTCCCAACTGTGCCCCCCGGGAGGCCAACGTTCTTCCGACGCCGACAGGGGGCACCGATGAGTGTTGCCGTCTAGCCTTTTCGTTTCTGACGGGCTTCTGGGTCCTCAAGATGGTTTCAAGATGGTCCACTCTAGCCTGAGACCCCAATCTCGGCCCACTGAGGCTGCACGGCGGCCTCAAGAGCGCCGCGTCAGGGCCCCTGCATGCGATTCGTCTGCCTCTGACGGGGGGGCGGGGGGCTACTCAGGGGCCCCAATGCAGATCGATGACCTCCAATCTTGCCTCCAATGCCCCCATCTGGGCCCCAAGAGAGCCCGAACGACGCCCAACCTGAACCCGAGAGAGCTCCACGGTTGGCCCCAGCACGATGGCCCCACGAGGCCTCCAAGCGGCTACCAGGACGAAAGACTAGCGACGGCCTTGATGATTGACTCCTGTCGTCGTCGTCGTTTTTGGAGATCGTTCCTGGATTTGATGGCGAGCATGCGAGGAGTCACGGATTTCGGTATTCTCTTGGCGTGGTACTATTTCGTGAGCTGCGCCAGCCTGGTCTACAAGATTCGCCGTAAGCCTCAATTCACCCAATCTCGCCGATCTGGCGATATTCCATCCCCGTTTGGATCAAGTACCGTGTCAGCTACAGCATACCCTTTCATTTGTCATCCCCCGAACGAAGAGAAATAAAATCGCTGTACCAAGTGACCATCAACTCCTCGAACCCACATGACAGGCACACCACCTTGCCGGTCACAAGGAAGCACTGCTTCAGGGTAAAAAACGTTCCCACCTTCGGTTCAATATGGGCGAACAGAACAATGAGGACATGAATCAATCAGGCAAAGCACATGACGGCGCAAAACCCACGGACTGAAGCTGTACTGGGTACCTTGCGTAATGAGTACTCGCGGCGACTTCTAAGGAGGGACGCTGTGAAAGCAGGGCGGACAAATAATGAAGACGACCCTGGGGGAGGTCTGGATGAAACGTGAAGCACTTTGCCGCGCGGGAGAATGTTTACAGCAACGCTCGTAGCGGGTGCTAAGTGAATCGCTTGCTTCGGATGTGTACCGCCTGAAGCTGGCCAACCAGCCATTGTCAGCTTGTGCGAGCAGCAATTTCGGCCAACTGGTAAGTGTTTTCATGCTATGAGGCATGCGTTCGGGGTCCACCACGCACACGAGCGTGGCACAATCAGCACATATTCTCTCTCAACGCCCAGCCGCCTCGATGATGTCCCAAGGAGCAGGCCCCCTGGTCTGCTAGCTCGCGCGTGTGCCGTTCGCATCGCGAGCCACGGGAAACGAGAACGCACATTCCGCAACCCCGGCCGAGATGGGCGAATGCCGATGCTGCGCTCTGCAGCGCTGTACATACGTCCCACGCCCACGCAGCTACTCCCCAAAGCACAACGAACTCTGCCACTGTGCCTCCCTGGCACGCTGAGTCGTGGTTCAATGCCAAGCGCTGCCTGATAAGGCTTATTCCCCAAACCGTACTTGCACGTACGGGTTCTCACTTATGCTGTCAAGTCATTGGCTGGGTCGCCTGGTGGGCGGCCGTAGGAGCCTCGTGGGTGCCCCATGTCACTGCACCGACCTTGCAGCCGTGCTGCAGCGGATTTTTGCGTGGGTTTCTGCCACTGCAAAACCGTAAGACGGCGAGCGAAGCACGAAGCGAATTTCACGTGGATTCGTCGTAATCTTCGTTCCTGGCCCCAAACGAGTCTGCGCGACATTCGCTTCGAAGTCCGGAACGAAACTCTCCAGGGCAGTCCGGGACTCTCCCACTGCCCTCCGAGCGGAATCCGCTCTGCGATGTTGGCGCCGTGACCCGTGCGCCGAGCGGTGCCGCGAAGTCTCGCCCGGGGGGTGGGGGGGGGAAGGGCCGTGGGCACCCCGAGGGCGCCCCGCGCCCAGGACGGGTGAGGCGACGTTCTTCGCCCGGGGGCCCTCTTTCCCAGCCGTCCTTCTGGCCTGGGGTCCTCGGTTGGAAGAGGCAGCGCCCCGCGTCTCCTCCCTCCGTTTCCTCTCCTCCTCCCTCCTCCTCTCCTCCTCCTCTCCTCCTCCTCTCCTCCTCCTCTCCTCCTCCTCTCCTCCTCCTCTCCTCCTCCTCTCCTCCTCCTCTCCTCCTCCTCTCCTCCTCCTCTCCTCCTCCTCCTCCTCCTCCTCCTCCTCCTCCTCCTCCTCCTCCTCCTCCTCCTCCTCCTCCCTCTTCCCATGCCTGCCTCTGCTCTCCGCATGTCCTCATCGCCATCGTCAGCGTCACCATCACCATCACCATCACCATCACCATCACCACCACCATCACCATCACCATCACCATCACCATCACCATCACCATCACCATCACCGTCACCGTCACCGTCACCATCACCATCGCTATCACCACCACCATCACCTCATCATCATAAGCATCATCATCATCATCATCATCATCATCATCATCATCATCATCACCATCATCATCATACTCACCATCATCATACTCACCATCATCGTTATCATCGTGATCATAGTCATCAAGATCATCTTCCAAACCCTGTTGTGTCAGGCCCCTCACACGTTTCGTGGCCCTATATGGAGCTCCACCGAAAACCCCAATGGCCGCGTTCGCATGGCGTACCCGCACCCGGCTAGGAACATCCCTCACAAGTTTCGTGACCCTATCGGGAGATCCTCCGAAAGCCTCAATGGCTGCGTTCGCATGCCGTACCCGCACCCGATTCGGCACACCCCTCACACGTTCCGTGGCCCCGTAGGGTGCTCCACCGAAGGCCCCAGTGGCTGCGTTCGCATGACGTACCAGTGCCCCACTCGGCAAACCCCTCACACGCTTCCTGGCCCCATAGGGAGCTTCTCGGAAGGCCCCAGTGGTTGAGTTCGCATGGCGTGCTCGCGCTTGATTCGGCACACCACTCACACATTTCGTGGCCCCACAGGGAGCCTCACCGAAAGCACCAATGGATGTGTTCGCAGAACGTACCCGCCCCTGATTCGGCACACCCCTCACGCGTTCCGTTGCCGTTGCCCCATAGGGAGCAAGACGATTCTCACAACTGCGCTATTCTCAACTGCAAGTGGTTGGACCCTTCGCCAAGATACTTTTTTCCTCCCCCGTAAAGTCCGTTACGGGGGGGGGGGGGGGGGGCGATCGTGCTCCTGTGGGGGGCATGGTAATGTGATCGGGCCCCAGGGTGGGGCCCAAAGGCGCTGGACGACGACGACGAAGACGACAACAATTACGACGACTACGACGAGGACGAGGACGAGGGCAAGGACGACGACGAGGGCGACGAGGACGACGACGACGACGAGGACGACGACGACGACGACGAGGACGGCCGCCTCTGAAGGTTTCCAGAGGTCTCCGAAGGCCTCAGGGGTCTGGAGGACCTCCGAGGAGGTCCTCTAGAGGCGTCTGGAGGACCTCCGAGGCCCTGGGAGATGATGACGACGACGACGGCCGCCTATGAACGTCTCCAGAAATCTCCAGAGGCCTCATGAGGTCTCCAGCGACCTCTAGAGATGTCTGGAGGTCCTTCGAAGCACTCGGAGACGGCGACGAGGACGACGAGGACGACGATAACGACGATTTCGACGACGACGACGAGGACGACGGGGACGACGACGATAACAACGATAACGACGACGACGCGGTCGAAGACGAGGACGAAGACGAGGACGAGCACGATGACGACGGTGACGGCGCTCTTTGAAGGTCTCCCTCTTGACGCTTCTGGAGGCGTCTCGAGACCCTCCGATACGTGCCATCACCCCAAGAAGCGTGTGCACACGGCGCCATACCTGTAGGGGGGCTAGCCCCCCCCCCCCCAATACGGTCGTTACCGTTACGGGGGGGGGGAGGGGGGCGATCCCCCGGAGCAGCGGACGTTACAGGCTCGACGAATACAAGACAATCTCCTTTTTGGGCGGCTGCTGGCTCCTCCTCCAGGGCACCCCGCGCCCCGTGCGCTGGGCGGGCGGTGGCGAGATCTCGCCGGGCGGGCGCGGCGAAACTTCGACTGCTCGTGGGCGCCTCGTGGGCGCCGCGGTGGGCCCGCCCCGTGCGCTGCCCAGCGGGGCGGCGAGGCCTCGCCTCGGTGGGCGGCCGTGGGCGCCGCGGTGGGCGCCCCCCGCGCGCGCCGGGCGGGCACGGCGAGGTCTCTCTCGCCTCGGTGGGCGGCCGTGGCCGCCTCGTGGGCGCCCCGCGCCGGGGGGCGGCCGCGGCGAGGCTTCGCCCGGCGGGCGCCCCTTAGCGCCTCCTGGGCGCCGCACAGCTCGTGCGACAATCTATTCTCCTCTCTAAAAACAGAATAGACTCAACCCCCCCCTGGCGTCGTTATCGGACCCCCTTTCGGGTATGTAAATCGTATTGCGGGTGGGTGGGTGGGTGGGATGTTTGCGCGAGCAGTGGAGTTGGTCAAACGCGGTGCAGGGTAGTCAGCTCTCTCTATAGCCTGCACCACGCAGCCCGCGCTGCGTATGCGGCACCCCTGCAGGGTCTCTCTGTCGCAGCAGGAAGAGAGCTCGACCAGCCTCCTGCGCACCAGAGTAGCGGTGCACCTGTTCGTGCTGCTGTTTGCATACGATTCCCCCCCTTCATCGTTCATTGTCCAAATCGAATCGGCACATCCCAGCCAAGCTTGGGCCACCGACCCGCACTTAAGTGCCCGCGCGCCAGCGCGGCATTTGAGATGCGGTGGGGAGCTCCTATCAGTAAGCACGGGCGCGGCCGTATCAGTTGTGCCAAACCAGCTGGTCGCTCTGTGCGGGAGCGTGCGCGCGCCAGCGCGGCCGTGGAGGTGTGCTAACAAGCTCCAGCGGGTGACCACAATGTGACCCAAAGTGTTTTGCCAAGCGAGCTGCGGGTGGGAGAATGGGAGGCCTGCGCGACCAATGGAACTAACGACTTCAAGCTTTTCGTGATTAATTGCGCCACGTAGCTTGCACCCTTAAACACATAATCTATGACACGTAATCCCACCAGCCTTCTGGGCGTCGGTGGTTTAGGGCGTTTCCTCTTCCACCCCTCCTTCTTCCCCTTCGGGGAGGGGTTTACCCCTCCCCCTCCCCCCTCCCCATGGACCTGGACCGGGGGCTCCGCGAGTCGTCGGAGCGTCCAAAACGGCCTCGGCGAGAAAGCCACAATCATTGATTTTACCAAGGTTTTGGACCCAGTTTGGCCTTCTGGGAGGGCGACTCTAATCCGTACCCCCTCCTTCTTTGATTCCGCGATGGCCTAAAGATGGCCCCCCAAGGCTCCCAAGTGTGCCCCAAGAGGGCCCCAAGAGGTGGCCAGGAAGCTCCAAGAGGCCCTCAGGATGCCCCCCAGGGGCTCTCAAGAGGCCTCCAAGAGGCCTCGGCGAGAGTGCCCAATCATTGATTGTACGAAGGTTTTGCCACATGTTGGCCTTTTTGGGGGCAATGATTAAGATGACTCCAAGATCGCCTGGAAGAGCCCAAGATGACCTCCAAGATGGCTCCTGATATCCCAAGGTGTCTCATAATGGCTTCCTCTGCGTGCTGCCCACTTCCCTGATCGAGGCAATTCCTCTGGGCACCGTTTCTGGATGGGCTGGTGGGGATTATTTTTTGGTCGCGGGCAGACGCGTGAAGCTGTCGCCGAGAGGGGGGTCCGGGGCACGGACCAGCCTAATAACTTGCAGGCCTGAGGCAGACGTTTGCCAACGATGGAATTAGGTCCTGCACGCCAGAAGCGCCTCATCGGCACTGTGCATGCGACCGCGCATCACACTGGCGAGGGCGCTGCCACTGCTGGAAACCAGGA